ACAATTACTCTTCGAAAAGTGAGCGTCAGTTTAGAAAAAAATGAAGAAATAATTATATAATAGTATGTCATAAGTACGCAATAGTGTACATATACAATCAACATAATTAATGAAACTAAATAAATAATTTAATTAAACTAACAATGTCAAGTGAATACAGGAAAATTTCAATATGGATTCTTAATAACTAATAAATGTATATTAAAGTAATAGGGGTTAAAGTATGAAATTGCCGATTTGTACTGAAAATCTAAATTGTTTATTTTTTAAATTTTTAACAAATTTATTTAATCAAAATAGTTGCCATTATTATCTATACATTGCTGCCATCTAATGGGAAGGTTATTAATGCCTTTGCGATAGAACTCCGACGATCTAGACTGCACAAACTGTGTGAGGTCTCGCGTTGTCGTGGAGCAATAATGGTGAAGATCGATTCATGAGTCGGGGCTGTTTTACTGCTAGTTTTGTCAACATGGTTCGGAGTTCGGCACAATAGACATCTGCCGTTATTGCTTGACCAGATCGGAGAAAACTATAGTGAATAACACCATGCTGAGACCACCAAACAGTTACCATTACCTTTTTATTGGTAAGTTTTGCTTTAGGACACTGTTGTGGCATTTGACCTGGGGTCAGCCATTGCATTTTTCTTTTCCGGTTATCATAAAGAATCCACTTTTCATCACATGTTACAATTCGATCCAATATTCCTTCATTTCTGTACCGGTTCAACAAGGCAACACAAGTTTCAACACGCGTTTCTTTCTGCAGATCAGTCAAATCATGAGGCACCCATTTTTCGTATTTTTTTATTTTATTGATTTGACGCAAGTGAGTCAATATTGTGGGTAAGGTAACGTTAAACCATGCCACTAATTTCTGGGTAGTTTGACTAGGATCGGCTTCCACTATCTCTCTTAATTCATCGTTATTCACCTGTGTGGGCGGTCTTCCTCGTGGCTCGTTCTTTATGTCGAAATTTCCATCACGAAAGCGTTTAAACCAAAATCGCACGGTGCGTTCATTTGTAGACCCCTCTCCAAACGCAGCATTGATATTGCGGGCTGTTTCTGCCGCGTTAGTTCCGCGTCGGAACTCGTATTCAAAAATCACTCGAATTTTCGCAGTATCCATCTTTCTTGTCTAAATTGAATAACAAAAACAATTGAAAGTCGATATTCAAATGTTTCAAATTTAAAAAAAAAAAAAATCACAGAAACCATTTGAAAAAAGTTTCATTCGAAAACCTCAAACCATGAAGATTCTATGAAAATTCAAAGAACCTATTGCAATAAAACGGCAATTTCATACTTTAACCCCTAATACAATAATATGGTGAATGTCAAATTCATTAATAAATAAAATAATTTAATAATTTTTTAAATAATATCGATATTTATCGAGCACTCTTAGGGTCGTATTCTAGAACTCTACTCAATGCTCAAGTCAGGATTGCACTGGAAACACAAGCACTGGAAAAACGACCCTAATGGCAGGGACTTGAGTGTGATTTCGAGTGCTTTAAACCATAAGTCAGGATTTGAGCAGACTTGAGTATGATTTCAAGCACTGGTATAGTACTTCGCAGTTATTAGTACATAATCCTGTATCCTCATTTCCTAAATAAATTAGTTATGAATTATTATTTTTCATTTTAAATCTAAAATTTATTACAATGGTTGGTTGTAAACGGGATAACAAATTTTATCTTAAGGAAAAAAAATCGTAATTGTGGTTACAAAAATGGAGCAATCAATCTAACTTTTTTATGAAATTTCTAGAGTTCTTACAACCTAACCTAACGCCCCGTGTTTTGAAGTACATGTACATGATGATGTGAAGTGATTCAGATCTAGAAAATAGTATTCAAGCGACACATTGACTGATATCCGTTGCACTGGAGACGATATTCGAACAATTTTTTTTATAATATCAAGTGACAGGACGAAGCAGTCCTGCACCTGGTGACTCAGAGCTCTAAATCGCAAAGATTTAAGAGGCAATGCCAGTGCGCCCGTCACACTGAGATATAAGTTAACAAGTCTCATGTACCTGTAATTTCACCGGCACCTTTTACCCTTCAAAACCGGAACACAGTAATGCTGACATTACTGCTAGGCGGCAGAAATAGATAAGGTGGCAGTACTTCCCTGGACGAACTCTCTACTGCTACTAAAACTTCGTCTTGTATACAAGTTAATGAAAACCTTGTAAAGTTCTAGTAACGTATAAAACAAGAATGTTAATAATTACAAATAATTCCATAAAATACCATGTTAAAGCCGAAGACGGCTAGATAAAAACCTACTGTAATTATTAATAAACTGCTGGCTTTATAGGTCTATTTTTAAGTGGAATATATGTAAATAATAACTATTTCATTTATATTTGCGTTGTTTGTTGCCACAAATAAATTTAAAAAAAATGGTTCGACGTCACAGAATTACAGTATAATTTATTGGTCTTTCTAAGCGACAAGTAAAAGCCGTAAAGCGCCTTACACTTCCGATCCACAAATAATTTGGCAAGCGTTACTTGTTTAGGTCTAGGAATAGCCTAAGTATTATTAGACCAGATCACGATGCCATCGATCACATGGCCAGTTCGTTCACCTTTAATACGATATCAATTTGGTCGGATTATAGATTTAATAGTGCGTATGTTTCCAATATGCGTTGTTGCATGATTATTTAAATAATCGTTAATCGTGATATTATATACTCCCGGACAACTAAGTCGAGCCACCTCGCGTTTTTGCTTTAAAGGGCTAGAATACAAAAATAGTGTTATCATCGAAGAAAAAGGTTTCCCCCGGTTTTGCAAGTCCAAAGTTACAACAAGAACTTATGAAAAAGACTTAATATACTAGTTTCTAAATTGCGTAGGATAATTCTTGATCAATCGAACATTGTTTAAGCTTAGGGCATTTAATACTGACGCGAGGTGGCTCGAATTATGTGTGCGGGAGTGTATAGGTATTATATTTTTAACCGACTTCAAAATAAGGAGGACATTCTCAATTCGCTTGTATGCTTTTTTTCTATGTTACCCGATAACTCGTGAACCTATTTTGATGATTCTTTTTTGTTGGAAAGGGGGTACCTCAATATTGATCCCATTTAAAATTAGGGGATGAATCCGGTTTCGCTCACTTTTCGGCAACCGATTTCACTAAAGCTTGGCAAATAGATGTAACTCCACTAACTTTTGTAGTCGGTTTTTTATGATACGAAGTGACGGGACGAACAAAAGCGTGGTAAACTACACGCCTGTCCATAGCAGTTGCAATACCATTCAGAGCTTTAAGTCGCAAAGATCTGAGCAGCACTGACGAAAGTTGACAAATCACATGTGCCTGTAATTTCACCAGCACCCTTACCCTTCGAAACGGGAACGAAATAATGTTCACATTATTGCTTGGTGGCAGAAATAGATAAGGTGGCAGTACTTCCCTGGACGAACACTTTCACAAGGAATCCTATGTTACACAAGGAACTCTACTGCTTGCTACCTTATCTTTTAATCTTGTAGGTTATGGGAGAAGCGAGGGCCTAAAATACAAAACCAAAGTAACATTAATAATAATACATAATAACATTGACTTACAAATAAATGGACGACGGGTCTAATACAAAAACCACGAAAAAAATGTCCCAAGTCAACCTATTCGAAATTTAAATTGTAATGTCATCGCAGTATCGCGCTGTCAGTCGAACAATGAAGACTAAAGCGGAGTTTGGCGCTCTGTATACGATTTTAGCGCCTTACAAGTGCGGACACTTTTTAGCGCGGACCCGA